CCCCAAAACCCCAAAACCCCAAAACCCCAAAACCCCAAAACCCCATTTACATTTAAATTTATTAAATTTTGATTTAAACCCGCAATGGATGAAGGAGACAAGAATGCTGATGGTATAGCACCATCTTCTTGGAATTATGGCTCATTTCATTTTCAATCTCGGCTATATACATCTTTTATGCAGAAGGGAGGTAATAAAGAGGTTCATAAGAAATATGAGCCTTTAAATAAGACTAATTGTGATATTGCTAAAATTTCGACAGAAAAGCGACAAAAATCAAATGGAAGAAGAGGAAGTAGAGAAGACAAGAATATGAACAAGTTAAGAATGACACAAGTTCATCCTAGGAAGGTTTTCACCAGTGCTGGATGGCAAAGAACTACTAAATCTGCTGAATGTCCGAAGAACAAGATAGCTACTGAAGATTATTACAGAGCTCTCAAGGAGTACAAAGAGATTGGGGATAAGGTATACATAACTTTCTAATTTTTAGGAGAAACTTATGGAACAACGGAATGATAAAGCAATGTCTATCCTCCTTGCAGGTAATTTTTTTTTTTTAAAAGTCTTACTCTTCATATAGGTTCTCCTACACCTCCGAAGTTAGGTAGAGGTAGCAGTCAGGATCAGCACTTTCAGTATAATTATAAGCGGCTCAAGTCTGAATTGGATAAGATAGAACTACCTAGAGAAACAATGTACATGATCGACAAGGTCGTCAGACAGAGAGTCCAAAGAGTTATTGTAAGCCATACACTTTATGAATTAATTTAAATTTTAGCATCATATTTTCTCTCTCTGAATATGGTTGTCAGAGCTAACCATTCTATATAGGAAAACGAGGTAACAAATGGGGCTTGACTAAAATTCAAATTTCTAGAATTTTAATTTTAGATGAGAAGTCCGGAAAAGATTTTTGACATAATAAAACCAAAGTTGGCTGTATCTCATGCATATATGTCTTTCGTATTTTGATTATACTAACTTTTTTGTACAAAAGTCTCAAACTTCTCTTTGGTGGCTATGATTAATATAGATGATCCTGAATACGCCTGCCAAAGAAATTTTCAAAAACAATAAAACTAATTGTACACAAAATCATACAAAAGATGAGATCATACAAGAAGAGGACCTCTCTTCAGAAGGAGCTGCAGCCAGAAGGATAAATAGCGTATGCGCTCGGGCAGCTTCTACAATGATCTCAACAAATTTCAAATTTAACTTGTAAGCGGACTAGAATGCTTTAGTAACTGCGAATATTTAAGAGATTTGTTAGGGATTTTGCCCTAAAATCTCCCTCAGGAAAGACCTAGAAACCCCTAATATCGATTTTGTACTTACTTAGACTTGATGAGGATTTCTAATATCTAAGCAGTGAAGATTGAGCTTCACTTTTAAATAAATTATTTAAAAATAGAAATTTACAGATTTAAGTGAATAAATTTGTAAAAGAAAATTTGTTTCTTACTAATTTGAATACCTCTGAAAATAAATTATATTAATGACTATCAAGATATATTATGCTTGGCAACTTGAGTTTTAAAGCAGTCATTTATGAACTAGCACTTCGCAGAAATCCTTGAACCTCAAAAAATCGATGGCTAATCTTAGGATTAATAGGGGAGACTTATCTGAATGTATTCATTGTTAAATTAAGTTCTGGATATTATTGATTGGAAACTGGAAAATCAATCTTTGAATTTCAATAGTTGCGGTTGTATGTAGACGGGCTATGTTGTGATTAGTTATAGCCTTGTCATATCAAAAATAGTCAAATTTGAAAGAAACCATCCTTTTAACAACAAGTTCTAATCTATATGTCATGGATTAGGATTAAAGATCTCAATTTTATTCGTAAAATTATATATCAATTCTAAATTTGAAAGAATTTTGAAATTTTTGACTTTATTCTACACTGTAAAATATCTCCTTGGTCATATATTTAGATGTTTTTGCTAATATTAATATAAAAACATTGAATGGAATTTATTAGCACATTCACACAGCCGAAAGCTCAGCTTGAACTAAAGACGTTGGTTTTGTTAGAATTTTAAAGATCCAAGTTCTTGGATTTAAAATTTTCCATCAAACATTTTCCCTAAATCAATTTCATGCCCAAAACCTGATCTCAGATTTAGTAACGATCCTCACCTCGACGATCCAAACATATCAATTCAAAGCGTGCGTAGTGTGACATTTGAACAATGGTGTAAAAAGAAAGAAATCATGCAGAGACTTAAGGATAAGCTAATCCAGGACGAAAAGATGAAAATCTTAGAACAGAAGAAAATGAAAAATGATTTCAATGAAACCAAGCAGTTCAATAACTGGAAATGATTTAGTAAGATTTTCCTCACAGCTCTCCTCTCCTACCTAATCCGACTCTAAAATTACGACCCCTTCTTCACCCCATCATCTAACTTACTACTCAGAGGAATGGTGCAAAACCAAAGACCGTCAGGCCAGGACCAAAAAGAAGAAACAAAAGAAGCAAAAACTCGAAAAGAAGCTATTCAAACTCCAAAAACAAGAAAACGCCTCTAGAGGCTTCAGAGAATGGCTAAAAGAGAGCCTCAAAGAGTCCAAACGAGCCCAGCATACAAAAAAGAGAAAGAAGCCTAAAAAGAGCACTGAAGAGGAAGAAGCTCAGAAATAAAATCCAAGTAAGCTATTCCTCACAATATTAGAACTCAATCTGTTACAAAGAGTGGAAGATGAAGAAGATAAGGGAGGAACGGAAGGAAAAACGTGAGAAGAAAATTAAGAGCCAGCATGACAAGGAACAACTTATGTTCCTGAAACAGCAGAGGAGGCTTATTAATAGAGCAGGGGATGTGATGTTGGCATATAGTTTGAATAAGAGTATTAGAGATCTGGAGAATATACGGAGGAGACCAAAGTCAGCCAGGAATGGGCTGAGGAGATAAATGGGGGTTTTAAGTATAATTTTAAATTTAAATAATTAGTGAGAGTTATGGGGTTTTGGGGTTTTGGGGTTTTGGGGTTTTGGGG